GTCTTTTATGACAAGATAAAAATTCACTCATTTTCATCAAGTTTTCATTGATTTTATTGTTATTTCTGCAGGCTATTTTGAAGAGGATAACTGCAAAAGAACCACATTATAATCATCTTCAATGGGTAAAGAAGAGTAACTCTGTTGTACCATCATTTTTTTATTCTTGTAATCATGTTAAATAGACAGATACTTCAAACATTTCCTCTTCATTTCCCAAACAAGGGCTGGTTATTGAGGCCTTAAAAATGATGACTGCACAGGAAATTGCCTTGAGTGGGTTATTATTCTGTGGAGGGTGGGGTCCCTGGGTAGGCTGTTAAACCCCTAGCTACTGAACTGAGTATTTCTGATCATGCTTTTCAGGAGGATGAATGGCAAATCAATGAAACATATATGGACAATATTTCCAAATATCCAAAGGATTGGTACAAACAGCTGATGAGCAAGAAGAAACCAAAGGAAGGAGAGAAAAGTGAGCGATCTAAAGGAGACAAGAGACACAGCATATATTCTGTGGACAGTGGAAAGGAAGGTAGGAACAAACCTGAACCAACTGATAATGATGAAGGTGCAGATGATGGAAACAAAGTTGAAGAAGACAAAGAGGCTGTTAAAGAATAATGGCAGTAATTAATTTATGAATTATGAGAGTGCAACGTTTAAGATTTATCATTTTATAATACCATTTTAATTGTACAAAAGATTTTATATCAGACAAGTGTGATAATTTGAAGTGTGTTACCTTTGCATTTTTGTTTTTTTCTTTTCAAAAAAGCAATTTTCATTTTTCTTATGACTTTAAAAGTCTGCACCTCAATATATTTCTGTGCTGTAAGAGGAAATAAAGTAAACTCTTTCCACTTAATGTACAGTAAATATGTAGTTTCTATATGACTGTTAAAAAAAAACCTTAGAGCCTGCTGAAATACTTTCTGCAGCTTTGAATGAGTGAATTAATTTCTTTTTAGAATTGAATTTTTGCAACTTTTTTTTAAAAGACAACTAAACTATTTTTCAGAGTGTGACAATGACGCCTGAGGCTGACATGAAATAAAGTGTGAACAATCCCAAAGCTTGCATGAATTTATTTCATTATATTTTTTTACTTTGATTAATGTGAAGCACCAAAAGTTTGAATTTGGTTAGAATTACTTACACTGAGTAACTGTTTGAAAAAAAAAATTTAAGAACCAAGTGAGGGTGGCCAATTTTGTCTGAAATTGTGTCATAATGCGAAAACTGGGCAGCACACCCTTTTTGAGAATTCCAAAGAGTACCTCACCTAAATTCCCACCCAGGAGTAGGAAATGTCCTAACAGCTTCAAGACACAGAAAGCAAGGATACACACTAATTGTTATTACTGCCCTAAATTGCCCCTAGAAATTAGAGTCCAGAAGAGAATTTTTTTGTGATCTGAACCTGATTTGTCTTCTCTGGACAAAAGTGGTAAAGGTGGAAATGCTCTAAGCTTAGACATGAAATGTCAGAAAAGCATTCAACATTGGCTCTTTTGTTTCCCTTTACATTGAACACACCAACATGCTGATGAGTTGCATGAAGCGGTTTGTATTCAACAACACATACCATCATCGCTAAAATCATTGCTGGTTAAACAGTGCAAAACAGAATTCTGTATTTATTTAATAAGATTTCCCACATCTAACCCCTCAAGTCATAAGTCAGCAAATTATGTACAAAATTTAGGAAACTTACAATAAGTGAGCACATTTCAAGAAATTTGCACAAACAACATCCTGAAAATACTCAGCAGACTGTTTTACCTGCTTTCTCAGTGTAACTAGGTAACATAACATGCTGTAGCATCAATTTTCAGTCAAAAATCTCTGCTGATACTGGAAGAAAATTTTAAAAGAACCTCCTTTAAAACCTTCACTAGGCACTTGTTATGGGCTATGAATTACTCTCTTTTTCATAATACATGTGTTTATCAATGCCACTCCAATTTTGTCATGAGCAAGAAGACTTACTTGCCTTAACAAATGGCAAACATTGGGCAGACCAACAATCTGAAGTATTTAAAAAGGTGCATTACTGTACATTTCACTGACATGCAAACTAAACACAATTGGAGAAGCAACATAGAAGAAACCCTCTTACACTGATATCAATCACATTATTGACAATCATAATGACAAGTACTACTACTTCTGGCTGAGTGGACAACACTGGGTAGTCCTTTGTCTGAATACTCTTTTTTTATTATCAGTTAACAGCCATATAACATAACCTTTAAATGCATCATGTCCACCAGAAAACTCAACAAATGTACATCTTAAACAAGACAAGGCATAAAAAGTATTTTATACACAGAGTTAAGTATGTCATAAAATTACATTTTATATACAACAATTTGCTGCTAGACTTTGTAAAATGAACAATTCAGGAACTTCCATGAGTTTTTTTAAGACAACATTTGATGATTTGAGGAAAATGATCAATTCATCTTTTACATGCTGCCAGGTAATTCTGTCTTTGATGCTTGTCTTGGTTTTTTAGCAGGAGATACATGACACTGAAAATAAAATGAATTCCCCAGTTCAGAATGGTGTTTATTGATTAACTAAAATGGGACTGAAAATTAAATACAAAAAGGGATATAATTATGTTACTGAAAATATCAAATTTTTTATTTCATTCTTAATTAACAGGCACAATTTGTATGTTGAATACTAGAGATGTCTGCATACCCACAGAATTGTTAATTGTAACCTCTGCAACTTGACAATGCATGACAGGAAAAAAAAATGTTTCCTACATTCAGAATGCCAATCCAAAGACAACCCCTTTGGTAATATGCACAATTCATCATTAACATGTATAAAGTTACTCTACATTGAAAAAATATGCATAAAACATTTCACAGAACTGTTACCTTTTCCCATCTCTCTAACATTTTTGCATACTCT